ATTGAGGAGAAAAGAACTAGATGCTAAGGAGTAAGAAAAACGCATGATAAAAACAACTCGTAACCAATAAAACTATAATACTTCCTTATCGTCCTTTTTGCTAAAATTTACGCTATGTTTGCTAAAAGCAAGTCGGCTGCAAAACAAACCAACTTAATCAACAATCACTGCAAAGCCAAAATACTCACTCATTCGAACAGTAAGGCACACTGCTTTTGCACTTTTATCCATTACTCGTAATCATATTCATTATTACTTGTTTTATTACTGCCAAATGCTACTTCATCAGCAGCTCTCCTACTGCTACATAACAAGCACAATTCGATAGCACCCAACTGCTCTTGTTATCAAATCGCACGTCTTATCAAACACAACTGCAATGTATGTTACAAACAGATAAGACTATGACAGTCGTTGTGGTTCTCAAAAACTTCGTGTCTACTATTTATGATAGAATATCATATTACTGATGAATCTAGAATAGTAAAAAAAGTTTACTACTTCTTAGATTACTAGTGGTAATATTAACAAGATTACACTGTGCGTTAGTATTATTAAGAAAGACAACTATGTATTTCACCAAATAAAAACAGCTTATCTCAAATGTGATAGAATAGAATCGGCGTATTCTCTCACTATCAGATATTGTGTCGTATTGAAAAAAAAGCGCATTAATCAAAAGTATGATGAACACTTCTTAATGGTATCTGCAACGGTAATGTACTCACGAACGATCAGTATGCTTGTGTTGATGCTAAGTCTTTTAAGAAATGATTTGTTCATTCTTTTNCATTCACAAATCATCATACAATGGCTACTAGTAATAGTGATATTTAGTGTTGTTTTTGCGTTAGCTATTGTTACTGCTGTTCGTATTACTGCTGCAGTCATTATCGTTGGTTATCGCTGTTTCTAATAATATCCTCTATTACACTTTGAACCTACAGAGTTCTAAGTGTGGAAATGGCAATTGATGTCGAATGCGTGAAAACAAAATCAATCTCACTGTCAGTCAGTTTTTGTGATCATAGGAATGTGAAGGTTTAGTTTTTTAGAAACTATAAGCCGCCTGATACACAAAAAACTTTGTGCAATGAGATTAGACTGTATAATAATAATCTCCATGAGCTAGAGAGACCAGAAGTTGTAAATTTTCATAAGATAGAAGATTTGATCGAAGATTTCGTTTGGAAAGCACTTGTAAGAAACGACTGAATTGTCGTCTTTACGACGATGCAATATGCCTAGGATTATGCGTAAGATGGAAAAAATCAGAATAGATTGCATTCAATAAATAATAAACGATAGTAACTTCATATGATATAATAGATCGACTTGATGCCTGAAGATCATAAGAATCGAAGACAAAAGTAGCCTTGCATAGATNTATGATATAATAGATCGACTTGATGCCTGAAGATCATAAGAATCGAAGACAAAAGTAGCCTTGCATAGATGCGATTATTTGATTATGATACGTCCTGTTACCATCAGTAAATCATGATCATTATTCTTAAGCATGTTTGTGTCTTTGCATCATTGCTTCGGTAATTTTTGTTGATGTTCACGGCACCTAGTCGTACAAGGCTGTACTAGTTGGCGATATCACTTAAGTTCGCTTCGAAAAAAAGAAGTTTTGATCCATTCAATTGACTCAAAGTGCAGTTGATATGTTCCAACACACTTACTTCCTCATCAATAAAGTCTCACTATAATTTAAAGATGCACTTGATTTGGGTGTAGCCATGAGATTCAGACTGATTTTCGAATTCATAAAGTTACTCCATAAAATGAAGTCATCTGTGGAATAGTAAAACTCTTTCGTCAACACTCAATGATAACATCTATACAATTATTGCAGATTATCTGCGATATGAATGCTTGAAATATGGCCAACGTACTTCGCATTGGTCACATTGCGGGCCAATAACGTGTGGCTGACAGTCGCATTGTCCATCGCTCTGACGACATTCCAATAGTGTATAATCAATTGACGGTCGTTTAGTTCCTGGAGCAAAGCATCTGCAATTTCGATGATGAAACACTAAACAACCACCAAAAAAAAACTAATTTTCCGTCGAATATTCAGTATCTTAATCCTTTTGATGATAAGTTGTTTGGAACATGATAAAAATTGAATTAGCTGCATATGTACTGTTATGATATTGCATACAAAAGCAGAAAAAACTGCTAATTTTAGGTGTTCAAGAAGGTCGAAGATAAGACGGGAAGAAGCTTGCGATAGCACGACAGAGAATAGCCCAATGAAGAGCAGTCAAATCATATGATACGATTAAAAGACCATAACTTACCTGCATGCTTTACAGTCTCCTTTTGGCTCCAACAATGCATCGCCCCAATAGCCAGGCTTACATTTCTCGCAGGTGAAGCCCATCGTATTATAGATACATTTGCTGCATTCACCAGTGATCGAATCGCAATTCCCGATGCTATTCGGATCAATGTTACCGCTACATTCACACTCTTTGCATGGCTTACCGTTTTGTGGATCACCGTAAAAGCCATCTGCGCATACATCACACCTTCAAAAGTAATTTTTCTCCATTGTAAATTAGAATAAATATGATTTGCCTTAGTTATAAGGGTC